AATGAATACACACACACAAATCACCTGGTAAACACGGACAAAACTACATTACACACAGATCAGTTTACAAGTACAAAAATCCTTTTGAGACTATTTTCACACCTGACTGATTTGTGTGTTTGAATGCTCGGTGGAAGCTGGGAAATCCAAATTTACTTTGGATTTAGTATAAATTTGTGTTGACGGGACAAATATGTTTTTCTGTGGAAAAATATAGTATCTCAGGATCCTACAGTTATAATAGATAGACCTACCTTTAATTTTTAATCATCTAAAACTGTTTATTTAGGCATGTGTGTTTGTGAGCCATGAAAACGTAGTCAAAGGTTTAAAAGAAATGACAAATAAATGGCAGAGTGGTTATCTTACTGGAAAAAGCAGGCTTCAAACTGGGAGAAGGCACAAGAAGACCTCACCCCTGCCACATGGACCCAAGGGATTAACCATCAACCCTGCTCAATGGTCAACTTTCCTCGTGGGGTCAAACCCATTAGGACAGTGGGAGGGTTAAGGCTCCAAGTGCAGACCAAAAAAAAAATCTCAGATGAACAGAAGTGAAGAAGGGTGAGAACAGTTGGTTTCCTCCCATAGTCTAAAAAACTATTAGTCAGGTTGACTGGGGACTCCAAATTGTCTTTGGGTTTGGATGAGTTCATGTATGTGGCACTGTGCTGAGCTGGAGACCTTTCCATGGTGTCACCTGCCTCTTCCCCGGTGACTACTGGAGCCTCTGTGACTTTAGTGTGAATGAAGCAGTTTGGAAGATAAATGGATCAATTAGCCGAATCATCACCAGCAGGACCCCCCCCCCCCCCACACACACACACACACACACACACACACACATACACACACTCTCCCTCCACCCCCGCGTTAATGTCATGTTGGAGTAAAACAATACATTTGGGATTGATGTGATCTGAGTTACAACATGTTTGTGTTTCAGAAGTCAGAACCACAGATGGAGAGCAGAACCCAGCTGTCTGTCTCTGAAGAGTGACTGGTCCAAGGAAGGACCTCCAGACCTCAGTGGACCTGGACCTTCAGACACAAAGTAAGAAAAGTGTTTCTAACTGATTCATTTGACTCCTCGGACAGAAAAACAGGATTTCTGGTGAATTCTGGTAGAACTGATGAATTAGTGGAGTTCTAAAGTGTTAAAAACAAAGTTGACCAGGTGGAATTGCAGCTCTTATCAGAGCATCAGAAACAGTCTTTACTCTGATTTCCTGTCAGTTGGTTCAGTTTCTATCTGGTTACAAAGACTCTTGATGCTGATGGACAATTCCTCTCTGTGTCCTTCAACCAGATGAACACGACCACATGACTGATGAACTCTCTCAGCTCAGATGTTTCAGACTTTGCAGCAACTGTCCCAAAATGATGAATCCTGCTCTCTGCATGGGTAACCCAGGTGGACATTTCTTTATGTGTTGTCCTCTGAGCAGAGCCTCGTGTCTGCATCAGCTACCAGGCTGTTTCTAACGCTGAAGATGAAGTTCTCGTGTAGTACTGCTCTCCACAGGCTGCTCATCCACTCTCTGAACTCCAAGATGTTATTAGAAGTTGACCCACATGTTCCCAGCTGCTGGATGATGTTCTTCTGGAGCTCCTAGACAGACTCACTGGATCCTGCATTGACTGTTTGCTCAGACTAGTTGTTGTTCACTGGTTACTTGGAACAATTAGTCTGGATGTTGGAGCATTTGAACACTTTTAGTGTTGCTGCTTTCAGATCAATCTTTGACCTTTCTGTGGTGGGTTGTTCACTGATGTGTGATTCTCTTTAAAGTGAGACTTCATGTTACTAAGTGCATCAGATGAGATGTTAGTGAGAGTGCAGACATAATAAAGAGGGAGCAAAGTGTCAAAGCTAAACTCTTAAATGCTACAATTCACTTTATTCTGGCCATGAATGAACTCCCTTTGCAGGGCTTCACTGGAGTTCATCAGGTCCAGATTAGACGCTGTCAGAGTTTATTTCCATTGCTAAAACCTCGAGAGGAGAAATGAACTCTAGCTGATATCATCTGACTTTGCACGGAGTTCATTTCTGTTCTCAAAGTGTTTAAAAGGACAAACAGTAGGAGACAGAAATGAGGAGGGAAGAGATGGAAATTTTTATTTCTTCCTTCTGCCCCTTTTCATTCAAATTGTTTGGTGTTTATGCATGTTGTTTTTCTCGTTGTTTATATGCGTAACATGCTCAATAAAACAATCAGGATAAGCAGTGAAATCATCGGTGAGGAGCAGCAGTCACTTACCAGCACACACAACACTTCAGTTCTCAGAAAAGGCACACAGATCTCCACAGACCCGTCACATGCTCTCCACTCCCATTACACCCAGTTACCATCAGGCCGGCGGTTCAGGGCCCTCCCAGTGAAGACATGAAGGGCCTCCTCCAGCTTCCTTCCCTCTTCAATCCGCCTGTTAAATAGCATGCCCCAGCAAAAGTGACCGTGACCAACACTACGGCACATCTAGATTGAACTAGTAATCTTTTAATATCGTGTTCCTTTTTAAATTCCTTTAAGCGTGTGTAGATGTGAGTAGTATTTTAAATTGTGTGTATGTGTGTGTGTGTTTTGATGCTGTTTTTATGTGTTGTGCTGACGCTCTGACTGCAAATGAAGTTCCTAACGCATAAATAAAGTCAAAATATTTATATATATATATATATATATATATATATATATATATATATATATATATATATATATATATATATATATATATATCTCCTTTCTTAACACTTTAAATGAAACAATTGAAGAGAAAATAGAGAAAGTCTGGAAAGTTTATTTACATAGCACTTATCACAGAAAGAAATGTCACAGAGATCAACTAAACAAACATAAAATAATCAACAAACAAAACAACGAAATATCATAAAATAAATGGAAAAAATAATATAAAAAGACAAAATGGCTCCAAGCCTCCTAACACAATAAAAGCCTTTAATAAATTATCATAATTTAATAAAACAAACTTAATATATGAGAAGTTTGTTCATTTAATTTACCTTTAATGATACAAAAATGAACCCAAAAAAACTTATCTTTGAGTTTTATGGATCTGTGTCTCCCTCTTGTGGACATTTAGTGAAACTACATGTTTGCCCCTAGATGAAGTCAGTTCTAAAAACCACAGAATAAACTTTGTTTATGAACACTTTAAAACTTTTAGGATTTTAGATTATTTACAAAATATAAATACTGAGCTTTGTAAACATGTAAGAATCTTAGTAAGTAGGTAAAATGTATTTATTTATTTAGAACCTTTAGTGATAAAAACAACAAAGTATTTAATAAATTTTGTGCCAATTTAAACATGACTGTAAATAATTAATATATTTAAAACAAATAAAGCTCATTTGTAAGCTGGATAAACAGATCAGAGCAGAGTGATAAAAGCACCTTGTTCCATCTTAGACTTCTGACCAGAGTGAAGCCACATCTCCCTGTAAAAGTTCAGGAGAAAGTCTTTAACCCATTCATCACAACTCATCTGGACCATCATGTCATGCTGAACCAATCTTATTAACATCTACACACCAGGGAGAGCACTCAGCTCTACCAGCCTGGTTCTCCTGGATGTCCCAAGATCAGATTGAAGAACAACTTGTTCTTTATTCTTGTTTTATCATCCAGGAAGTTTCATTTGTTCTTTGTTACCTCGTTTAACTACAAAGCATTTTGGTCCCCCTCAGCTGTTTTCATTGTGTTGTAAAATAAAGTGACACTGAGTAGAGAACAAAGGATCCAACTGGCCATGAAAACATTTCAGTTGATTTTCTAAATGAGGATCAGAAATGTTCCATGAGAGCGAATCCTGGCTGATCACTGACTAGTGTGATGTCCTGTCACTGACTGGCGTAGCTCTGGGAGAGCTGTCACACGTTGGACTGGGCACCAGTAAAATAGGGAGTCACTGATGGTGCCGGTGTGACGTCTGGGAAGGACATTAGAACGTAGACACGGATTCAGAAGAGCTCAGAAAGGGAAATCCTGTACAGCTACATTTGGATCATCAGCTTCAGCTGCTTGGTGTTTGAGCCATTCCATCTGACAGCTCAGCAGAATTATTACAAGTCTGACATCTGTTGAATAAAGTCCTAAAAAAGTTGGCAGCAGCTGTGCAACATCAGGTAGACAGCAATACATTTTTATCATTAAATGTTTTTATTCCACATGAAGCCTCTGAAAGTGAAGATGTTACCTGAATACCAGCTGGTAACAGGTGGAATGTGCAACCCAACATCTCCTGGGTCAGAAGGATGGGCTGACATCCAGAAACAGGCTTTAAAGACATTTATTCCTATTCACCGAAGAGGTTATTATTATGGTTTCCATGGGAACAAGTGAATACATAAACAGGGTAATAAATCAAAATAAACAGCTGCCAGTGGCTCCATCTATTAATGCAGCTCCTTACAGATGTTTGCTACATAACATTGTACCTGTGCAGAACAAGGAACGTCCTAAACACAATAAATAAGTGAAAGAGCTGCGACACGTTCTGACCAGGGCCTTCTGGGAAACTGAGTCCAGTGAGCTAACAGGGACTTTAGAACATTTGTTGTATTTAGTCAAGTTTTATAAACGATGTGCTGCTTGTTAGTAAAAGTCAGCGAGGGTTTGTGGTTTTATTCATCAGGATATTAAATGAAAACAACCTGGTTAATAACAGACTAATTGTTTGTGTTGGACTTTTTCTAATTTAAAAGATAATTTTGCTCAGTGTCTCTCTGTACTCAGAAAATAGATTTCATTATCAGACCTTGAGATTATGTACAGGGCCCTTAGAACAACTCAGGATGAGACAGTGTCATGTTTTACCCAGGAATGTTGTTATTATTAGTCTATTAATATTATTATTAATAATATTATGATGATGATTAAAGTTTTTTAGTGACTTACTCCCCTCTAGTCCAGTAGGTGGCGGTAGTTCACCAAAAATTTCTTGCCATGAATCATCACACAGAACAAACCGAAACCGAAATCTAACTTGATATTAACGGAAAAGGAGGACAAAGGGGGGACATTTTCTCTGGAAGTTTTAGTCAGATTTGTGAACTCTGGTTACAGTTTTAGTTAAATTTTTTTTTATTAAAAGCCTCGTTGCTACTCTGAGTCTAGTTAACGGAAGTAATTTTTATTCTATTTGTGTTTCGTTGGTTTCCGTTAACGCTGATAATCCGGTTCAGACTGGATTGAATGTGGACAGAAGAGAAGAAAAAAAAGTAAAGCGTGTGAATCAGGTGAGTTAGAAGTGAACATTGTTCTTGTTCTCCTGTCAGTGCTTTTCTCTCTGTTGATTGTTGCTTTGATTCACCTTCAGAACAAACTGCGTCACCTTCTTTGGCCTACTGCCGTCAATCCAGCCCTCCTTCGATTTTTTTTCTTGAATACGCTTTATTGACAAAGCACATAATAAAACTACAAAGAAAAAACAAGCACAATGTCAGGGGGTTCTATGGGAAAACAAAACAGTCTAACAAAGAATCACATTATATTGAACAGGGAACATCAGTTTATGGTTTTGACAGCTTTCAAATTTTGAGAATGTTCTATGGTTTTTATATATTGTCTGGTTTCATTTAAAAAGCACTGAAAGGATGGTTTTGCATTAGAAAATTTTGACTTATGTATATGAAACTTAGCTAGTAATATCAATACATTAATCAAATAAAATTCGTTTGCCCTGTGCTTGGGGTACCAGACAATATTTCCTCATTACAAAGAGAGAACTCAGAAAAGATTAAGGAAACAACAAAAACGCAAAATTCTTGCCAGAAAAGATTTGTGTATGAGCATGACCAAAATAAATGAGAAATATCTTCCTTCACACAATTACAAAATGTACAGTTAACATCAATTTCCTTTTTATAACGTATAAGAAAAGATCTGGTTGGGTAAAAACGATGAATAACTTTAAAAGATATTTCCTTTACTTTATTATTTAATAGAGATTTTGATGGTAAGGTCCAAATCTTCTCCCATTCCAGGTCCTGGTATAAGTTATTCCAGTAGGCGACAGCCGTTGGGTCACAAGTTCTGTCTTTTTGAAACGGAGTTCGTATTTCACAGTTGTTTTTCCTCTTTATAGCGGGGAAACACACCTGACCAACATAAGTAACAGTAGGATCCAGCGGTAAGGGGGTCAAATCATTAACAACAGGATCTCTAAACAATATCAAGACCCCAGCAGGGATAGCATCAAACACTATGGCATATTCCTTTGGTGGAACAGGAAGACCATATGTATTCATAAATTCTGAGTAAGAGAGTAAACGTCCAACAGGATTTATAAGTTGTGCAACTCTATGAATCCCATTATCAAACCAGTAACTTAAAAACACAGACTTATGTTTGTATAATATGTCTCTGTTGTTCCAAATATAGTATCTATGTAGAGAAAAGTTGTGTTTATAAATCAATGACCAGGAAAGAAGCATTTGCTTATGAAAGCTGGATAGTTTTAAAGGGATTTTATCGATATTGTAATTACAAAGCAAAAGGAAGTTAAGACCACCAGTTTTTGAAAAAATATAATTGGGAATAAAGTTCCAAATTGAGGTTGGGTTCCTGAAAAAATGTTTAATCCAGTTTATTTTAAACACATTATTTAATGAGGAGAAATCCAGAAAGTTTACTCCACCATGTTGGTATGAGTTGGATAAAACTGATCTTTTAATGTAATGAATTCTATTCTTCCATATGAAGTTTTAAAGAAGTCTGTCAATATCTGCCAGGGTTTCTTTATTTACATCAAGAGACAAAGCAGCATAAGTTAGACGAGATAAGCCCTCTGCTTTTGTCAGTAAAACTCTCCCTTTAATGATAAATCCCGCTGCAGCCAAGCATTTAGCTTACGTTGTGTTTTGTCCAAAATTGGAGAGAAATTAAGGCCTAGTCCACACGTGGCCGGGTTTTTTTTTTAAAAAACGAATATCCACTCCTCCAAAAACTTGTATCCACACCACCTCATTTAAAAAAAAACTCTGTCCACACGTACCTGGATAAATACGTTGTTAAGGACATTCCAGACCTGTAGGCGGCAGTACTTCCCTCGTTCTTAACCTCGTCCTTCGTCTGTGGTCTTCCGCAAGGAGCAGTAATTCCGCTTGCAAAAACAAACAAGCAAAAATCACTTGGGCAATTGATAAAGCGAGCGCAGCTCTGAGGGCATCCATGCTGTCGGCTAGTGTAAACACAGGTCGCACACGTGATGTCAGCATTTTTTGTCGCGGTCAGTGACGTTGCGGGCCTTAAAACTCCGGTTTTGTCTGTCCACGTGCAGACACCCAAAATGGAGAAAACGCAGATCTTCACTTTGGCCGTAGTTTTTAAAAAGATCCGTTTTCGTGTGAAAAAACTCCGTTTTCGTGTGGATGACAGGCCAAAATGTAGAAAAATATCTACGTTTTGGCAGATCCCCGGCTACGTGTGGACAGGGCCTAAGGGAGCACCTGGTGGATTGATTTTTATTAATGATGATACCAAGGTAATTGACAGACTCTTTCACTGGGATGGCAGCGATAGATAGACTGTTACTATTTCTAAGGGCAAGCAGTTCACATTTGCCAATGTTTAGGTGGAGTCCTGAAGCTAAAGAAAAGGCATTAATTGTGTTAATAGCCATTTGCACCTGTGAAGCATTTTTTTTAAAAGAGAGTGGTATCATCAGCAAGTTGACTAATGAATATTTCTTTATCCGCAATTGTTATACCTTTCAGAGGACGTGCGTTTAATATAATCAAAAAGGAGTTGGGCACAGATGAGAAATAAGTATGGGGAGATGGGGCAGCCTTGCCTGATACCGCGGTTCAAGTTAAACCTAGGTGATGTACCTGCTTGTAGTTTGATGGAACAATTTGCATTGTTGTACATTGTTTTAATTGCATTCTGAAAATAAGAACCAAAGCCAAATTTGTCCAAAGCCTGAAAAATAAAACCATGTTCAATCGTATCAAACGCTTTGCAAAAATCTACGAATAAGAAAAAGCTATCATCCTCACACAAATCTGCATAATCAATTAGGTCAAAGACAAGTCTAATGTTGTTGGATATGTGTCTGTTGGCCATAAAGCCAGACTGAGTTTCATCAATAATATCATTCAAAACAGTTTTCAGTCTTTTGACAAAAATCTGGGCTAGGATCTTATAATCATTATTAAGGAGGCAAATTGGCCTCCAATTATCAATATAAGTGGGATCTTTCTTTGGCTTCGGGATTAGGGTTAACAGACCTTGTTATAATGGGGGGGAAGATATTGATTTATAAGACTTTCAATGTATACATTAAGAAGAAATGGAGCCAGTTGATCTGCAAAAGTAATGTAAAATTCAGAGGTTAAGCCATCGGTTCGTGGGGATTTATTACGTTTAAGACGTCGAATAGCAGGTAGCACTTCACTAATAGATATCGGCCTATTACAGAAACTCATCTGATCTTCTTTAACTGTACGCACATCAGGGATTTGATCCATAAAGTTCAGAGCAGCACTCTCATCAAACTCTGATTTGTATAAATCTTTATAAAAATTGGATCAATAGGTGGAGACTTTTCGGGGGTCATCAGTTATAATACCATCAATATTAAGTCTCCGAACTGAATTTAGAACGAGATTTCTCTAATTTAAAAAAATAGGATGAGTGTTGTTCACCTTCTTCTAGCCATCTTCTCCTTGATCTCAGAAAGGCTCCCTCTGCTTTCAGTTTATAAATATTATTTAACTTACTCTGTTGCAAAGCTAATTCAGTTTTATCTTCTTCAGATAGGTTCTCTGGTGGGATCTGAGTGAGAGCAGATATCCTAGTAATTACATTGATTTCTTCCTTTTTCCTTTGTTTTGCTGCAGATGAGCCATACTCTCTCAAATATTTAGCGGCTTCAAATTTAAAGAGTTCCCAATTGTGACAGTAGAGATGATTGGTTAGGGCTTTATCCCAGAAATTTTTGATTAATGACAAAATATCTTCAATCACTTTTTCATGTTTTAGAAGGGAATTATTAAGTTTCCAGTAGCAGTTCCTACAAGTTTGGGCAGCATTAGCATTGAAAATGACATGAAGTGATACCGCTTTGTGATCCGTGAGTGGAGTTGGCATTATACTGGTTATAACAATATTCCTATTTAAGCTATCAGAGATTAACCAAAAGTCAGTACGGGATTTAGAAGAGTTGGATTTGTTACTCCATGTAAATAGTCTGGCTTTAGGGTTTTTTCTCTCCAAATGTCTATGAAATGAAATTTTTGCATAAATGTATTTAAACAACAGGACAGATAGTTATTTGAGCTAGGTGGCCATCTGTCCAGTGAAGGCTCTGGAGCAATGTTAAAATCACCTCCAACTAATAACAAGAGATTAGGGTATTTGGATAACCAGAACAAAATGCGTGTTTCAAGGGCATCCAATAAGAAGTCATTACCAGACTTAGAATTATAACCATACACGTTGGCAAGAAGAAGAAATGTACCATCAATGTATATAATCATTAACACAAAGTGTCCTTCTGAGTCCATTTCAGAGGTCATAACGTTTCCATTAAATTTGTTCTTCAGAGTAATAAATCCTGCCGATCTTTCTGAACCATGTGAAAACCACAGGTCCTTGCCCCACTGTGTTTTCCAAAAAGCAGTATCCTTACTAACAGAATGTGATTCAAAGATAACACCAAGGTTCCTTACTTTGTTCTCGGAGATTATTGTAATGCCATTCAGGTCAAGGTGATTGGCTAAGCAATTTCCTTTTCTGGATTTCTGGTCCAAAGATAACTGCCGTCTTGTCTTGATTTAAAAGCAAAAATTTTAGAGTCATCCAATTTTTTATGTCCTCAAGACAAGCCTGTAATCTACCCAACTGATTAGGTTAATCAGGGTTAATGGATAAATATAACTGAGTATCGTCAGCATAACAGTGGAAGTTTATCCCATGCTTTCTAATGATTTTACCAATTGGGAGCATATATATAGTAAAAAGAATTGATCCAAGCACTGAACCCTGTGGTACTCCACAAGTAACCCTGGAGTATGAAGACAATTTGTCATGTACATTTACAATAGGGCTGCAACAAACGATTATTTGGATAATCGATGAATCGGATGGGGTCTCGACACGATTAATCGATTAATCGGATTACATGGGGACATTTTTAAAAACTGCTAGGGAAACGTTATTTCTCTCCTTCCTTCACTTTATTAAACACAACATTATTAGAAAACAGTTCAATAGCAGAAAAACAACATGCCATCAC